GACATCGAGCACATGGTGCTGTAGAAAATGCGGTCACGAGTGCCTGCGTTAGGCAGGTTTAGTGATTCCTGAGCGAGTCCCCTCGAGTCCAACACCGAAAAGTCGGCGAGTCCTGCAGAGAATTTAGGCGGAACCTACACAGCGGTTTTAAGTACGCTGCATTTGATTTACTAACCGCTTGCTTGCATACTGGGTCTCTTTATTTATGATGGCGTTTTATATATTGTCTCATTAAAATCTATGTGAACTATCTTCTATTAACTAGCACACATCGCTCAAATTAGTTGCAGATAACTTTGCTAACATTTTCGCTTTTTTACAGTTCCCTAAAATACTTTTTCTGAATTCTCAACTTATGACGCATATTCCGGCAACCAATGCATCTCATATGCTCATTTATTGAAGTGTTATGTCACTGTTTTATATTTCTTCTATCGTTGTCTCAAATGATTGGCAGGTGCTTGATATCCCCGGTGTGTCTGCGCTTGATGTGCATGTTGACAAAGTGCCTACTTTCTATTACCCACTGCCTCGTCAATACGGGCTCCAGCAGATAGTTAGTTGTTGCTGTAGGGGACGGGATGCACGGTCCTTTTGGCCGTGCTAGACTCGAAGAGTGGTTCCATGCGCTCAGTGTGGAGCGGACTGCGATCCAGCCGCCGGCTTGTGTGCGTTTGATTACCCAAATACAGCGTGTTTGTGTTTGCCTGTGAAGGAGGGTGAGCCGGCTCGTTGAGGAGACGTGGAAACCATCCACACGACTCCCAGTGTTATTCCTTCTGGTTTACACTTGATTCGGGGTGTGTCCTTACGCTGTGGGTGGTACAGCGTAACCCAACCATGGTCCCTCTGTAGGCGCAGGCGTCCTGCGGCTGGCCACATTGACAGGAAAACCTGAAACCGGAAGCCGCCAAAGACTTCGCAAGACTTTTTCCTCGACAGACTAGTTTTTATTTACGTAAATTACCTCCCAGAACACATTTTACTCCCGACGCACATATTTGCAAATGATGATAAAATACAGAAAGCAATTGGCTTAGCATCCGACCGTGCCTATATCCAGGACTACCTGGAGGCGATTTACAAACGGGCAGTAAGTATAGTAGTTCCCAATTGACCCTGCAAAGTGCCACGTGCTGACAGTGCGCCACTGCTTCAGCAACCCATCACTTCTAGGACAGCGCGTTTTGTAACTGGTGGTTAATGCAGTAGGCTGAGTTATCATCATCCAATTAAGTCTTGTCAATTCGCTCTAATGCTCGAAAACAGCGAATGTGGCGCACATGAACTTGAGGCTTTTGAGGCGAGTTATCGACACATTTGGGCGGCGGCTAGTACCACACTTGATCAGCACATACCTTAGTTCCCATGCTGGAGATGCGTTTCAGGCTTGACTTCCATGGTTACAGAGACATATTCGTCTTTTTGAGCAACCCTAATGAAGAGCCGACAAGATACCAGGTGGACTATCCGGTCTACTTTCAGAGCGCGCCTTTGTTTACTCGGTGTGTTCTCTTCAGAATACCAAAGGCTTCGCGGGGATCTCTTCCTCGCATACCAAATACTAACTGATAGTTAGCACCCAGGTACATCACGGCTGACCCTAGCCCATTACAAAAAGATATCGAGGACATCATCTTGATCTAGTGACGCAGCCATGCAATTTGCACAGAAGGACGATTCTTTTATTCTCTTTGAATCTGTTCCCACTGGAATGCACTACCAACACACACGGTGAAAGCACCAGATATGGCGCCATTCGAACGACTTCTATACTACCATCATAGTGCTAAAGGCTACAAAACAGTATGGTAAGTGCGCTGTCGTTACTACCAATGATTCACGTTCCACGTTATAATATTTTTGCTTTTACTTTTCTTGGGTATTTTCAAATCCTATGGGTCTTGTAAAATTATACATTTCATCCCAGCGTACACTACTGAATTATTCTACTATTTTCCTTTCGATCACCAATGCCATCAACTGATCAGAAACTACAAATCCGCGCATCAGCAGAATCAGGCACAGACTTTTGTTACCGACTATAAACTGCTGTAACCTAAAGGGATTATTGTAGATAATTGCTATGAATTGTTGTTCCTGCTGCGTACAGTCATTGTCCAACAAGAAGGGTAACCAAAGCAGCACTCGCAGTTTGAACACAAAATGCCTGTACAATACAGAGGGTTATCTGGCACCCCCAGGATTTTTCGCCCACTGCCAAAACATGGCTATATATGTATTACCGAAGAAGCTGTCCTAAGAAACACGGTGTCCAAGATCATGCAATTCATAAATGCCTATGCCTTGGTATTGCATCTATAACCAACCAGGGTATTGATTTTGGAAATTGAGGATCCCGTAAACTACGAATTAACCATGGATTAGTAGTGCCGAGTCTTATAACAATGAAGCGATGGTTAATGTAATGCACAGAGAATTTTGAAAGCATTCTATAAAATATGAATCGGTGACGCCCTGTCGGGCGAAATCATAATGTTTCTCCTTGCTCAGAGAGTCATTTGAAAGCACCCGTGTGAATAAACTCCTACGCGCAATTGCAATTCAAGGTGCCCTTTAAATTGCGATTTCTGGGTCAAAAACGAAGATGCTAATTAGGTGTTACCCAAACGACGATGCGATTCGGCCTCATTTTATCCAGTACGTTGAGGATAGCATGTCTATACACCAGACCACCTTAATAGTATTTATTTAATGGATCCCAATGAGTCTGATTTATTCACCTGGTGAAGTCAAATGAGGTCAAAACGCGTCGCAGTGTGCATCAGCAGGGGGCGGGATGTACCTGATCCCCACAAACGTTTACTTCACTCAAAACTATTGGAAAAGTTTCTGTGCTTTTATGTTGGCATATAAAAGTGACTTATTTCTACGGCAACAGGTTTGTTTATTATTTATGTATTTATTAATCAGGCAACCGAAGCATGCATGGTGTCTTTCCCGACGTCTATAAAAATTTGGCGTTGTATTTATTTTGATGTCAGGCAAACTCTGCCTATGTACACCAGTGACGAACTCGAAATTTACCGCATTTTAACGCGAACAATTACATGCTTTTCTCCAAGCGACGAAAAGCACATAACGCTACATACTAGCAATATTTCAGAGAATGTCGTACAGGCGCAGCCATGGCGTGTTATAACGGAACGATTTGGGTTACTTTAAGCAATAAGGCATCGGAAAATTTATCCTGGTTAGTTGTGATGGCAGTTCGAACAAACTAACGTTTATATTTTCCGACAAATCTTCAGTACCAATGTTCGCCTATGTTTTGACTACGTGATTAAAATCCGCTTTACGCGTCAGAAACACGACAAAAACATGCTGCAGCATCTTTAATATCGGACAACCAAGTACCTCAATGGACTATCTATTCACGCATCCGAATAGGGAAGGAAAAGGTTGGAATATACAGCAGAGGAATTCACCGAGTGTGCAGGGATATTATTATCGCCTACTTGATTTTGCACGAACCCCCCTGGTATGCCACTGCTTACTGCAAATCCGCAGTAAAGCACGATTGATAAGTCACACCTGGTAACAAGCAGCAAAGTACATTCACCTAGAGCAACTCAGGAATATTGATTCTGTTCGCGTATGTCACATGTGGAATGCTTTCCTTGAATCGGTCGTTTCTGCACCTGTAATATACCCATATAAAAGTCGGTTGGATGATACACCCAGTTAGCTACGTTTCGTTCGATAACCTACTGACTTTTTTATGAAATACTTGGATTTATGTACGCACACCTACTGGCAAAGTAAATCTGCATTACAATCCATAATTACATTTGTTTGACAGCAAAATATCCAAGTAATTTTATAGTACATTCTATAAAGTACTACAATGTACAAACGGGCTTGTAAACGGTTTTTTGACTCAAATAATGCCATTGTTCACAAAACCTCTAGGGTTTCGATTATAAGTTAATCGTACCGTGATCTCGTTACCGGATGCAACATTATGTGTACGCAGGTTAATCCCTTTTAGTTAAATTAATTTGCATTGTTAATGTATACATTCTAAAATGCATTCTAAAATTTTTCATTATAAGTGAGCTACCTACTCCTCCGCATGGCAGTAACGTGCAACTACTTGGATGGTGAGCACCGCTGCATGTTACTTAACAACGTGGCCAACTTCCTCGGCCCCCCAACCACCTACGCGATGATTTTAAACGCAAACCGTTAACACTCGGATTGTGATTCCTTGACCCCAAGAGCAAAATGCAGTACTCACTACAGAAGTTCCTCGAAAAAATGTCATTTCCGGCAGCGTGCTGATCCTCTGGTAGAATGTCTTTATATAAAACTAACTAATGCATGGTTATCCATTTCAACACATACTTTCCAAGGAAGTTTAGAAAAATTCATCGACTTATTGCCTGCTAAATTGCCCGTAACTGCAAACAGACAGATACATATTTTTCCATTAATAACTACTTTTTTAAACACAGTCCATCTTTGCCATTCGATATGTTGTTATTTATTAAATGTATGTAATTAACGGCGTCTGTTAAGTCACAGAGTATGATAGCAATGCAAAATAATCAGGCTTGCATTTCACCCTAGGGAAGTTTTGTAAAACACGTTTCCCTATACACAGAACAACAGGAACATTCTTAATAAATTTTAGTAAAAAGTACATCGTATTTGCTTTATAACAACAGATAAAGCCGGATTGAAATATACGCATTTGTTTGCTCATGAATAATTGTGGCACCGTATCTGATTTTATAATTATGTTATAAAAGTTTGATGATTCTCGTCATCAGGGATGCCTGGGCAACTTTTCCGTCAATGATCTACCGTCCAGTGATCTATAAGCATGCACAAACCGCAGAATGTTTTTTGATGCCACATGTCATGTTGTGAACGCCGGATGTGGTAACTTGCCGAAGGATACGAAGCGATGTGGAAGTCCGCGGGCTTTCTATTCCGTAATGCTGAAAGACCAATACACAAAAAAGAAACAATACCCATCATTATGGAAGGATAACTGTCACAATGATGGTATCTGTGTTCAGCTTTGGCTTGGAACGTCGTGTCTTTGCGAAACAACCGCGTTTTCAGGAATTAGTTGCAACCGCCGTAAGTGGTACGTCCAAGTTATGAGCGGTCATTATTCGTATTAACTACCTTCACATTCTAATTTTAATGTCTACGCCATATTTGTTATATGTACCACAAATATGTGCGCCGCCATAAACTTAGCAGACACAAGTTTATATGTTAGTAATCAATCAGAATTTCTCTCGAACATACGAGAGGCTGATTTCAGTACCAACTAGATCGTTCGATGCATTATTCTAACGCGTGCAAGTATTTGATATAAACAATTTTATGCAAATTCGTCCCAATTAGAGAGACAATTAGCCTCCACATCTCCAGGAATGCTAAGTTTCGTCCTATTGGGATAATAAGTAGCGCACACGGTCCAAATCCTGCCGTATTTAAATCCATGACCTAACGACCGACTTAAGACACTAAGTCATGAGCCACGGCAGCGGGCCGCCCTGGCTCATTGGCATAATCACCGGCTCACAATAAAAAGTCGTTCATTTATTCCGGCGGGATGGGACGGTTGTGCGATAATGGCATGTCCCAATAAGAGTGAACGGCCGTCTATCACTATCCTAGATGTGTAGTGGCTGTCTCTCTGAGTCTAACTGCAATGAAGACACAAAACTATCAAATATATCTCCCAACACTTAGAGTTGATTTGAATTATTTGATGTGAACATCCATGCTATTTATTTTACATGCATACGCATTGCCCCTATGCTAATTTGGTAATTAGAATAAGCTTACACAATCGTTAGCTTACGTAGCGGTCTTCGTTTTCACAACGCAGAAAGTGAACAAAGGAATGCGCGATATTGGCTAGCACCAATAGGGTAAAACGATGGTCTAGTAGTTCTCCGTATAGATGTTAACCTGATGTAACTGTTATCAACAAAATTAAATTGGTAAAGAAAACATTTGTCATTCGGGTATTGAAATGATCTTTTTATTTTATGGTAATTTGAATGAACAATTTGTAAGTTAATTTCCAGAATTTTAATATGTAATATGTTTAAACTTAACTACTTTTGGCGAAGGGTAGCCCTTACGATAGCCTTTACGTATTAGCGTATCAACGTTGGTTTCGGTTATTATGCTTGCACTGAGTTCAGGTAATTTTTATGGACAATTCCAAATCAAACAAGGCATCGTCCTCAGTGTCACTGAATCGACAGCAATATCTCCCTGAATAAGACGAAGACAAAGTAGAGTGCAAAATAAAATACCATTTAGTTTCGAAAATATCGGATAGTTTTCTCAGCACGGATAAGGCTAAACAGATAATTGGACGACTCTAGCATGGTGTCGCTCACTGCATCCAATTCAATTCACAAAATTTGCATGAAAGGTTTGATCCAGACCTAAATGCATGAATCTTGCAAACAGTTTTATGATCCGCATTCAAAGTAATAATTATAACACTGGTACTGTAGGAGATCTGTTATATTTATGTTTGCAACATTTAAGTGCAGGAAGTATGTGCATTTTACAGCCGGAACAGTCATTAACGTCGGCATCAGTGAGGCACACAATGTGAATACTCGAAAGCCAAGCAAAAATGGCCATTCATTGCAGGGCGCCAGTTACGTCCGCTTGACCTACACCGATGGTGCAAGGCATACGTTGGAGGATGAATTTGTTATAGGCATTCAGGCTGAATGGATTAACTCATCTGTTGAAACACATTATCAACAGAACTTGGCAACAACTTGCAGTCTGCTCTATGTTGCAAACAAAAAGTTCTCAGGAGATTTTCTACACGTTTACTTGGTAAGTGATATTTTGGAAAGTTTTGAAATATACTATTTAACAAAATAACACGATGCTATGTTTTATGAATTTATAACATTTGTAAGGTACTGCCGAAAACTAAGCCAATTTATAAAAGCATCAGACAATCGCATAAATTCAGTTAAGTGTGTTGTGTGCAACCTACTAATGAAGGCAGCACTATTTAAAATATAATATGACAGTGTTCCTCAAACCGTCGAAGTCAAAATGCTTGATATCCACCGAGTCGCAAATCGAGAAATATGAAAATTGCTAGATATTACTTCTTCTCCATACTTTAGTTTCAAACATCACCATGTCTATTTTGTAGGCATATTAAAAATTCGGAAAATAAGAATCCTTTATCCTATAGTAATCCCTCTACCACAGATATATAACGGTTTGTGGACACTTAATAACAGATGGAGACGAATTAGAAAAAATAACATTTAGAACCTCTGTCGCTAAAATTTCCAGCAACAACATGTTTTTCGTTTTTTCCTTAAGCTGAAACTGCCGCAGCGCAATGCATACACACCTAATAAACTTGAGCATATTTATATCTATATATAATACTTCAATATTGTGATCGCAAGTAATGTGTTTAGTTTAGTTGCTCAACCGTTTCGGTGAATCGTGTAATGTTAATTTGTAATAAAAGTTTTGCTGTTTCGTATTTCACAGCTGGAATCGTTTGTAAAAGGAAAACTTTATATCAGTTTGGCTGCATAGCACTAATGATATTTCTCAAATACTGGTGGACTTATACCTTTTTATATTATCCTGGTTGGTCTTGTTGCTCGAATTTTAACTAGTACATGAAAATTGATTACATGTACTTGTAATTTGAGTCGCCATGAATTGTACGGCAGCATTTACAATTATCTGTTGACAAAAATGTAACGCTTAGCCGTGGTGGTTAATGAAAAAGTTGATTGTTGATATGAGAAATAAAGCACATGCCATAATAATATTATTGTTAAAGTTCTAAACTATGTTGTGTGATACATGGACAGTACAAACGTTATCAGGCTTCCTTCATTATGCACAAATGATAAGTTATGCTTTAAAGTAACTAACAAATGAAACAGTGTGTGTTAATCCTTGTGTGTTAAGACAAAGTTAAACCATTTGTAAGTTGGTAGATGATAAAAATATGTACATCAACCTACAATTATTCAAGGTACCCAGATTGCCAGACATAGATTATGTGATAAAATGCGTCTATGCTCGTTCACATTTTATTTCTTTCTTTTTTAAGGTAGGTGGTTTTCTTCAAATAGACTGTGATTTTGGCGGTGGGTTGGTGCACATTACTGGTCCAAATATATCATAAACCGACGGATATTTTCACAGAATTCGCGGTTTTCGCAGTGGATTTCAAATGAGTTTAGAAGTAGACAAACAGCAATCTACTTACATACTAAAAGATAAGCCATAGTGTATTAGCACACGAGAAATAATGGTTATTCACTTTTAATATGCATGTGCTTTCAGCCAAATCAGTGCAAAATATTTGTTCAAGTTGCTCGTCAAACCCATTATTACACAACTTTTAATTTTTCTTACGGATTACCCAACCGTATATATGGTTTCGCTTATAAGCAATTTCTTCAAGCCTGGACACCAGCTGTTATCTATTTTCTCCAGATATATAAGGGTTAAAATAAAAATGGCAAAATTTTGAATTGTATAAAAACACTGACAATAATTAGGATTTCTCCTACTTGCAGATTTCCGAAAGAGGTTGCATGTTTTAATAATTTTCCTATTTATTTTTGTGAAGAACTAATATTCTAGCATATTTGCGTGTACACCAAGTACTACTACGGAGTAGTTAGATAAAAAGGCTAGAAGGCTTTTGGTTTTGGGTATCCATTAAAACTTAAGTCCTCACTTTTTAAACTTCGAGCAATATTGTCTTTCATAATCATGGAGTTGAAAGTAGTTAGACCCGCAACGGTTCGTTCTTTGTTCCCGTGCTAAGCTGATGTTAGGTTGCTAACACCTTAATGAGCAGACACAAACGGATACTACACATAATTTGCTGTACGTGTGAAAAGCTGGATACTTGTTTTCCTAGTAGAGAGCAAGCTAATTGAATGTGAACATACAACTTATCTTGTGTGTGATATGTTAGAGGTTACACGCGCTATATTTTCTCTGGTCACATTAATTGTGTTGAATATTTTGGTTTTGTTATGTTGTTAAGCACAATGTATTAGCAATGCATACAGAGTTTTCTATAATCGTTCATGAGGAAGCCAGGAGTGCTAGGATTAACTATCCGGTAACGCAAGCAATAAAAATAACTGGAAAGACAACGCAAACTATAAGCGGTAAAACCAGACATATTGTGTAAATAACCAAGCGATTCGGCGCTTCGTGAATAATAGTGTAAAATACTGTACACTTTAATAAAGTGTACAGAAACCTGCATTATTTGAAATGGTAAATGATTAGCTGAGTAACGTACTATTATGCTGACCTATGTCGCCTTACCATTGATGTAAGCCGCCGTCTAAAAAGGCTGCGCGTTTTTGTAAAAAGTTGGGTAATTTTTGGTAAAGTTAACGAAAGCTACTAATTATCTAGTTCTACTAATTGAACTACCGTCGCAACGAGACTGGACCTTAACGTATTGCGAGGGTTTGCGTACCTCATTGACCCATTGAGCTATACTGGGTGATGCCTCCGAGCATCTTGTGAGATTTGTGTGTGAGATTTGTCAGTGGTGAGATATCAGACAATCTCAGTCTCCTGGTCCTCCAGGTTGGGGGTTTGAAATGGGATGGCGTCCATTTCTGTAAAACTAAATCACTACCACCCGCTGCATTGCTAAGAGGCTTTTGAGCCAAAGGCTTTGGATGAGGAATCTAATCGTCCTCCTGTCTAGATATGGGTGCCTGGCATTATCACAGCCGACACACAACCATGACATTTTCTAAAAACATAAACTTCATCCTGCATCGGCCGTGGCGCAGATTATCAAGGGTCACCTTATCTGCAGCATACGGCAGGGCGGATAAGCTAAAACCTGCTACTGCTGGCGCCTCTCTTTTGTAGTTCCACCTTTTGCACTTACTCCCATCCCGACCCCCATTACTAACCCTCCTTCTATAATTCCCAGCTTAATTGACAGCAACCGAAGTGCCACTGGAGTAGAACTATCTGTAGCCACCCTCCAACCGCACTTACGGGACTTCTATCTGCAAACGTGTCTTATAAGGAAAAGCTGCCCCGTTTCCATGGCAACATTCAGCGTCCGAACTCTAAGACAAACAGGTCAGCAGGCTGCACTCGCACGCACCTTGGATACACTTGGTGTTGATGTGTGTCCGAAACAAGAATTAATGACCCTAACGGGGTTATTCAATTGACGGCACCCGGCTTATCCTCTCGTTATTGGTTGCACGCATCCAGTGACGCCGATGCGGCACTCACGGGTCAAACTGGTGTAGGTATCATTCTCAGCTGCAAGGCTGAGTCATCGTTGGTTGATTGGATTCCGGTGGACAGTCGTTTATGTGCAGCCCGTTTGACGATATCAGCTAAGGTGAATTCGCGAAGTAAAACAAAACGCTCTTTGTTCGTGATTTCCTTTTCTGCTCCCACCGATTGCAGTTCTAATGCAGTCAAGGCCACTTTCTATCACCAACTGAACGCCCTACTACGCAATGCTACTAGTTCAGATATGATAGTACTTACAGGGGATATGAACCCACAAGTAGGGCGTCTGAGCTCTTCAGAAGCTCATCTGGGTGGTAAATATAGACTTAACGTCGAACGGACTGACAATGGCGAGCGTCTGATGCAACTGTGTGCGGAACACCAGTTGTTCCTTACTAGCACTGCTTTTAGTCACAGTGTGCACCGAAGTGCCACTTTGCGTCCACCTGAAGCTGGCCAGTGATTGACCAAAATTGACCACATAGCCGTAAGTTACAGGTGGCGCGGTTCCATTCTGGATTGCCTATCTGTTGAAAACTATGGTGATAGAAACGCGTCGTTAAAGTGCGATTTTTATTTCTTTGGCATTATTTTCTAACCGCCACAAGAATTGTCTGAAAGGGTTGAGACCAGAGGTAACTCTATGATAATCTCTCCATAAACAATACGTATTAGATGTCATTATGTAGCATTTTCCGGAATCGGCATTTTAATATATAGTTAGCGAACATAGCTAGTGCATTTCATACTGCGTTTAATGATAATTACGCGAAAAGACGAGCTTATATCTTTGACACATATGAGAGCGAAACTCCGCTTGCTATGATTGGCTTAAGATGAATAAAGCACGATATCTAAGTGCCGAAGTAACACTAAAGAAGCATTTAAAATACTTACTTCAAGTAACGGGGTTTCCAACTATTATCATTCTTACATAGAAGACGTTGCTAACCAGTCACATTTAATTTGAACTTGCATTCTCCGAAGCATGGAGTTTGCATTACAACGACAGCAGCTGGATAAAAAGTACTATTGTACGTTTGTCCAACAGCAATTTTAACTGTCTTTTCTTCCAATATCTTATGGTATTTGGAGATTATATCATGGCACAGATAATGTACGAAAAGAAATTCTGTTTATCCAGTTTAAGTTCATCTATTCGAGTCGAGCTCACCATACATGAATGACAATTAATGCAATATGAGTTCCATAAAAAATCGATCATTATTAGCGTTAATTACGTTTTTATTCCATGATTTATAAAGAGCCCGGTTTCCTCTATTAAGTTAAAAAATGTGAAAACAATATTTACTTTTATTAAATGCATGCTGCATTACTTCCTTTGAAACACGTTAAGTTTTTTCGTGGGTAACTTGTTAACGTGAGTATTAAGCATTTAGAGCGCAAACCTTCAAATGTTTTTATAAATAAACAACGTAGTGCTTACTTATATAAACAGACGCTTAACAATACTCTGATTAAGTAGTATAAACTCTGTTGCTCCCCGCAAGAAAAGTGATTAATGGTGGGTATTAACACCCAAACACATAAACGTTGCCATTAAAAAGATGTTCATTAAATAGTACCACTAATGAAACGTAGTATGATAACATTTAAAAGGAGGTAGTAACATGTAATCATACGTCCAGTGGGTACTTTCAGAAGTTCCTTGTAACAATAATAACTTGGTTTTTAAATTTACGTCCACAGACTAGCTTTTTGGTTGTTGAAAACCAAAAAGTAACCAAACTAAGGCTTTACATAATGGAGCTATAAATTAAATTTTATTAGTTGAATTCCTTTCAGGAAACATTAAGTATACTGAAAAATATTAATAAATTTGGTGAACACAGTGATTTAAATATGGAGATCAGGTTGATTCCTTGAAACCCTTCAGCTGAGCGCATTATACTTTTTATAAATATATCTATATATTCTGTTAAACTAAAAATTTATAAACCTACTGTGATGTTTCTCTGTCGTTATTGTTTAAGCTGCTTTACACGGAATAAGCAAAGTCCCAGTGTTCAAAATTTATTTTATGTTTCAGTAATAAATTGGCAATAAAATTGCATCGTGTTTGTCGGCTAGTTCAACACGTACTCATAAATGCAACCAAAGATCACGCCTTAACAATCCTTTCTAGGAAAGTTTCATACTTTCTGTGAACAAGTCAGTCAAAGCTTATACAATTAATTAAAATAGCTTGGGTATATTAGGATAATTTAAAATCAGCGGCTGTCTTCATGCAATGTACAATCGTCCACTAATATCCCATCATAGAAGATAACGATTTATAAACTAAAGTTTTGCACAGGCAAGTTCACGCATAGTTATAATAAGTTAGCGTGTTTCAGGAAGCAATTAGCTTGTTGTGCCTTCAAGTTCAGGCGGGCAGTAATACCTTCTCTTTTTGAGGGGTTACGTGCACGCACTATCTGAAATAATCTCATTGGTCATGGGATATTAACCAACAATACTACTTGGATATAAGCACAGGGCTATATGAAATCGTCTATGGGGACAGTTATGCTCCTGAGTAGTTTGACACATTGCTGTTAACGGAAGGCAGACATGCATGATAATGACAGTGCTAGAAGTCCCCAACAATATGCCTGACTGAAGCTGGTCAACCTTCAGCGCGTTTTGTTAATTTGGTTCGGAGCTAGGAGCGGCTGCAGTCAGGCGCTTAAATACAACCCGTACGCTGAATTACTAACTGTCCAATGACGCAAATTGCATTGCCGGTAGGAGTGAGATGGGACACAGACTCCACGTGTTTGCCTACGATCGCAGAGCACAAAGAGCCTTTCGGTTGTGAGAAGTGAACCTTAACCAGACACCACAGCCGCAATCAATGCGTCATGCCTCGCCCACATGACAAGATCTAGGGAACGCACGCAGCTCAGCTGTGTGAGAACTGGACTTGAGCTGGACA